GTTCCTGTCCCCCTCTATGTGGTGGTGGCAAAGACCCCTTGGTACCCCAAAAAACACGCACCAGCATTTCCCTGCTTGCAGACAAGCAGGCAGCAAGTCCAACCTTCCCCGCCCTGGAGGAGCTGGTGCCCACCCCACATGTCCTCCCACATCTTCCTCCCCAGCCACGCAGGGGTGGGACCCACCCCGAGGGACGCTCAGGGAAGCCAGGCTCACCGTACAAGTTCTGGACGGCCAAGATGTCATCCCAGCTGAGGACAAAATCCTTGCTGAGCTTCTTGTAGTAGGGAGACATCAGGGCGCTCTTGACGGGGGAGTGCTCCAGCCCCAGCGTGTGCCCGACCTCGTGAGCCACCACGATGAAGAGGTTGCGCCCTTTGCCGCTGTGCAGGGACCAGCGCTCGGCGCTGTCAAAGTGGGCTTCCCCACGCCGGGGGAAGAAGGCGTGGGCCAGGGCACCTCCTGGGGACACGAGAGACATCAGGGACCACGGGGTAGGGGGCACATGCAGCTCTGGTTTGCCTAAATGGGCATCACTTTCAGCTCTGGTTTGGAGGGTGCTGTCAAATGGGGAGGGCTCCTTAAAGGCCACCAGCAATAAGGAATATCCTACAAGGAATATCTCAGCCACCTCACTGGCAGACCTCAGCTGCAGAGTTGGGAGGGAGGACCTCAAATCAGACAGCAAACTGGTGCAAACTGGGCTAAGAGGCGCTGCTGGAGCAGAGCCCTGCCTCCCTCACCCCCAGCCCTCCTCCCTGCCGGGGAAGAGCCCACGTTGTAAAAGAGCAGCTTACGAGGGGGAAGCGACCAGCACCTGGCCCATCGAAGGCGTTGTTGAGTCCATCGTTGTGGTCCCCGTGGAAGAAGGTCAGGCGGATGTCAGCGGGGCCGTCCTGCACCTCCCAAAACACCAGGGAGGACACGTTGCTCCAGAGCTCGAAGGCGGCTCTCACGGCCAGGCGCACCTCGTGCTGCGGCAGGTACGGCGGCCAGTTCACCACCCGGTACGTCAGGTGCCTCTTGTACCACCTCCCACCTGCAGCGGGGGCAAGCTCAGCGTGACGATGGGCACTTGGACTCGTTCTCCCACCCAGGAGCGGAGGAAAGCTTCCCAACGCTGGGAAGTGCCACGGCTTTCCCAAAGCGAAGCTGAAAGTCAGCTCAGTGCCACCAGCAACCCTGGCACTCTGCACCACCATGAAATCCCACCAGAGCCCACCCAGAGATTGCCAAGGCTGGAGCTGCAACCAAATCCCAGGAGAGGGGCCAAAACGTCTTTGAGGAGAGGAGAAGCTGGGGCACCCAGTTTGAACCCCACCCTTGCCTCAGTAAACTCTCCAGAGCCAAATCCAGCATGGGGCCCTGCTGGAAGGCCTCCTGCCTGATGCCAGCTCCATGTCCAGAAGATGCAGCCCAAGGGCTGGATTTCAGGGAGAGAAAGCAAAGCTAGCTCTGGAAACAAGTTAGGCAAAGGAATGGGAAGGGGTCTTGGCAGCACCTTGGGGGCACAACAGATTACTGCCCAAGGCTTCCTTAAAAGCTTTCAGGGGAGGCAGAGCCCTGATGCCACCAGGACAATGAAGAAGGGGACAAGCTTGTGTGACCCCCCCTTAGCTCCCAACTCTCCTCCTACCACACAGGAGTGCAAAGATGTGTGTTCCTGCAGCTGCTGAGCAGCATCACAGCCTCCTACTCCTCCTCCAGCACCCCTTGGCAGCTGTGGGGACCCCAGGGCCCTGGGATTACATCTGGCAGGGTGCATCTGGCCAGGAGCAGGAAAAAAGCCGTGGGGCCCTGGGGAGATGCAGGTGCCAGAGCCAGTGCTGAGGCGTGGGAGCGGTGACAGACCTCCAGTGTCTGCATCTGCTCCAGATGTGCGGGAAAACAGGGGGAACGGAGCCGGCAGCACGCCGGGGCTCGCTGCTCCGGGTCTGAGCCAAGAGCTTAGACCTGGCAGACATCCAACCCCAGCTCTGCCTCCTTCTCCCCCATTTCTGAGGAGCCCATGGCAGGGGAGACTCAGGGCCAGCTGGTCACACTCCTGGGGGCAGAATCAGTTCCCATTGCTTGACAGTGCGATGACAGCCCCCAGCTCCAAAGGGACATGGATGCACTTCCACCAGGACATAACCTGTGTGGCAAAGGCTAAAACCTGCATGGATGGCTGCAGCCCTAAAACAAAGCCCTGGCATCCCATCCTTCCCTCCACGGGAGCAGGGCATCTACTATCAGAGGAGGATGGATGGCACTAGCAGGCAAGGCTGGGTGAGCCACATGTGGCCAGCTCTTGGGAAGAGGATGGTCTGGCATTTGGCCCTTCCCTCTCTGCCTCACTACCCGCCTGTCCTGGGCTTGGGATGCCTCCTGCAAGGGCCAGACTGCATGTCAGGGCTTTGGAAGGAAAGCCAGAGGCTGGAGGAGGATGAGGGAGCTCTCCTGGGGCTGTACACCGCCAGCCCTGCCAGATGCAGAGACAGCCTGACACGGCACAGAGCTCTTTCTTAATCTTGCCTTCATTTTTCCCATGTCCTAAGCGCAGCTGGCCCCGGCCCTCTTGCTCTCTAGGAATCCAATTACTCATCCACAAGCCCAGGAGGGAGCTCATGAGGGACAAGAGGCCCAATCCTGGACACACAGGAGCACAGAAGGATGCTTGGGGCAGAGCTAAACCCCTTAACATGGCTGAAATGACTCCCTGGGTCAAGCAACCCAGTGCTGGCAGGTTTCGTGGTTACTGCTGGGTGATTAACACACGTTAGAATTCCCAAAGCTCAGCAAAACCTAGAGATAACTTCACTGTTTGCCAGCTCCTGCCCTCCAGATCATGGCATCACAGGCATTATCCAGGGCCACAGTGACCTGATCGCTCCTTGGGAGATGTCCTGGCTCCCTCAACAGCAGTAAAATGACCCCGGAGAGCCAAATTTCCCCACGAGTGGGAGTTGCACCTCTAATCACCGCTGACATCAAGACACACAGAACAACCGAAAATAAAGAGGTCTAAAAATAAAGTGATGCAAAGCCCAAGTGGACCCTGGGGTGGATGTGGTGCAGCCAGGGCCGCACCTCCCACCCACAGCAGCATCCCACAGAGCCCGGGATGGGAGAGCTGGACTTGCAGCATTCCAGCAGCCCAGCACCCAGACACCACAGGGGTCGGTGCTCACCGTGCTGTGCCGTGCGCCGGCGGCGCCGGGCGGCCGATGCCCGGCGTGTCCCAACAGCTCTGCTCTCCCCGTCATCGGTGCCACACCGCGGCTGAGCCATCTGATGGAGCGTGGGGGCATCCAGCACCCCGCTGAGCGGGAGGTGGGTCACCCGCTGGAAATCCCTGGAAAGGGAAGGGAGACATCAGCACCCACATCCAGACCCTCCACGGGGGGTTTCAGTGATGTTCGTGCCGGGGATTTGGCCTGAGCCAGGGTTTTCACCCAGCAAGCCTCACGCCCCGCCACCAGGACTTCACTTAGGTGATAAAATAAGAACCACAGCCGACTTGTAAGTCATCTCCTAGCAGTGCATAAGCAAGTGCCTTTTCTAGTTTTTAACCCTATTTATTTGACTTTGTGTTTGACTTTGCACTTGACTTTGCACGGGGTCAGGCCTGGGATGTTCCCAGAG